GCACAAAAACAGAAAGGGCCGTACGACAATGTTGTAACTTTTCACCGGACTTATTCAACGAGTAAGATGATTCTGAGAGAAATCCTACCAGGATTCATTATTGGCAGCTACAAAAATACTTAAAAATCTAATATAATGACAGTGTTGATAGTGAAATTAAACAAAATGCACTCCTACAGAAGTTAGTAAAGAAAAGCGAGAAGAAAAGACTAAACATCAATTGTAAGTGTTATATTCCGTGTTAATAGGAATATCACTGGAACAACACGGTGGATAACTAAATAAAGGTTATTGTAAAACCAGTAGTGAGTGCTGCTTTTTGGAGGTTGAATAGTTCTCGAGTAAGTCGGAGTCGTATTCAACAGATTCCAGAAAGTCTCTTCATAGTCCGATGACTTTATATGTACTTAATACCTATAATGTAGTCACGCATGGGGGTGTCAGGCTATTCCATTACATCAATAACAAGACAGCAGATATTGTTATCAACAAAAGGGACAGCCCAAGATGCAAACTAGGAATTGGAGACACCAAAGAGTGCAAGAATTTAAATATCTAAGAAGGGGGGCGGCAAATGCGAAAAGGTCTTGTTATCGGCTCGATTAAGAAGTAATTTCAAAAAAAGATTTTTGTGTAGTGAGTTAGGCTTAGAACGTTTTACCATATTTCTCTCTCTCTCTCTCTCTCTCTCTCACACACACACACATACAGACACACACACACATATATATATGTGTGTGTGTGCGAGTGTGTGCGTGTGTATGTGTGTGAACCATTGATATCCCGCTGAACGTAATGCTTTCCCTTGAACGATCAATCTCTAAGGAGCTCGTTTTCCTATGAAGTACTTATATATGAGACCAGAAAATGCGAAGGGCATCGTCAATATTCATGTCAGCCGTGACAATATCCAAAAGCAAAAAGAAAAGAAAAGAAAAGAAAAGATGGTTTTCTATTCGACATGTACATCATATCCTTGAAAGAAAACACTACTAGTACTAAGGTAGACAGATAATAGATTTGTTCGGATTGTGTGATATTTTAACTCTTCTCTCTTTCTTATCTCTCTTTATATACAAAGGTTAGCATATTATTCTCGCATGATATTGCTGGTGAGTTTATCCCTTACTGGGAAGACCATAAACAGATATTTATGACGCACTATTTCTCTTATAGGAATTTACTAAGCTTAACTTAATCTGGTGCAAGTCTTCAATTGTGGTTCAATCAGTAATGGTTCTATTATTGATCTGCGAAGCGAGTTTCGTAAGGCTTTATTCACTGATAAGATAGTCCCTATCCTGTTTTATAGTGATTTTCTGAGTGTAGATTAAATGAGGCACAAGGTCGAAAGTATAAGGCAGCCTGGGAGGATCGAACTCACTATTCAGTCGTGATTGATTTAGCGAAACAGAGTTGCTAATCATTGCACCACTTCAAGAGCCTATTGTTCTGTCTTATGTACATAAAAAGAAATCCAACTATGTTCAAGGATTAGGACTCACGATTCAAGATAAACCTTTTCAAGACAGAAACTATGATCTGGAATTGGAATAAAATTAGTATGGAGCCGTTAAAACAGATATATATTAAATTACACCCTGAAAACTTGAGCCATGTTCTTGAATCAGATCGATACGTTCATGTATGAATCATAAAATTCAGGATGTGGAATTGGTAAATGTCGAACGTTTTAATTACTTTGGTGTATGGAGCCGTTATAACAGATATAGCATAATAAAGAAAGAAAATGAACATAGACTAAACAGCGCTAGAGGTTGCCCAATATTGTACATTACACCAAAATCAAAACGTTAACCTGAAAATTACCATTGAGACCGGTGGTTCTGGTTTGTTCTTAAATATCTTTATCAGATCAAGAAAAAAATCAACTTATTTCTTGGATCCGAATGTCATGTAAAAATGACGCCAGATTCTTTCTGAAATAAATACAAACCTAAACTTATACAACCTAGATCAATGGTAAAGTTTAAAGGGCAAAAAATTGAGCGAATAAATGATGCTAAGATTTTTACTGAAGATCATGTGTTTCTTCTTCGAACTTTGTGTGTTGATTGACGTGATTTTTATCTACAGAATCGTCAATACACCCAAAAAAACCAAGAAATCGAGATCTGCCATGAGATACAACACCAACGACTTCAGTTTAGTGGGGCTTATATTGTTTCATTATATAATATATAGCCTCAAACAGAACAGAACTGTTATTTCAAACCATTTGTATAAGTGAATAATATTGAAAACACAACACGTTATCTCGAGGACTAAAATGAATAGCATATGTAACGATAACGGAAGAGAAGATAATAACATATGTTAGACCCTCCTATCACAAATGTTACATCAAACAAAAGGTTAAGATGTTTTAAACAGTTGATATAACATCGGCCTCAGATACATGTACATACAAGTAATGTCGACCATAAATACATGATTAGAAAAAGAGCGATTACAGCATACGTTTTGGACCTGAGAAACACTATTTTCTAGAAAAATTGTTTTAAGAGGGTTGAAAAACTTTTGCCTCAAAAACAAAACTGTTCTCTTTTCAAACAGCAATGGAACTGGTCTATCTTGCTCAGTCAACGAATGGAATCAATTGCTTCATTTTTTCTTTTTTAAGGAAATTCGGTTAAATGCCATATACGGTCTGCCCGCGCTGTTACCATTCGACAAAATCCAGAGACGGATATGCATTACCATTTCATCACATTTGACAGATGTGGTGGTTCTGGTAAATACTCAAATTCTAACCTTCACGCCTAGCTAGATTTGCATCTCAGGACCCACGAAACTGTTAAATGTGGCCGTCTCTTCTTGTCTGAACCATCCTCTGATAGAAATAATTCCATCCAATGTATTCCATTACTTTGTGATTCCCCGTCCTTTTTTCACTGGATCAGCTTCTTCCTGTAAACCATTGCTCTGTGGAACCGAATCCCAAGATCATGTGTTCCTAATCACTATAATCTGTTCAAGTCTAAAGTTAACCGTCGTCTTTCCCACATATCCGTTGAAAAACTAACCTGCCTGTAACACTGTAACCCATTTAAAATTTGAGTAAAGTTCCTGGGCCTTTGTAAACCATTTCAGGTGATCCAATCTATAATGTTGTAAAGTCTTTCCACATATAAAAAGCTGTAATGTATCAAACTGAGAAAGTATGAGCAATAAAATTCAAGTCAGCAAGCCTTTTTATATTTCTTTTTGTCTCCAGAATTTCCTCCTTTCTCTTACCAGTTTACCAAGGATGATGAACATATACATAGAATATTTGGAAGAAAATGGCTTTAACAACAGCACCACTAAAGCCGACGGTATGGCTGAGAGACGTAGATGACTCCTTTATACACTAGGAAACTGTGAACACAGTAAGACCTTCGATCCAGTTCATAATGAATCAAGAAAATAATAATCAACCTGTTTTCCTAGTCGTGCTCATAACTCACAGAGAGAATGGGTTCATAACATCCCTATATCACAAGCTAACCTTCACTGGATAATACCTTAACATCAATTCCCACTATCCATATAGCATAAGGAAATCATAAGAGATTCCCAAGACACATACCAACAGAAGAATCAGTATCAAACGTAACCTTCAGAAAAAAAAACCCTACCCTGCAACCATAACATCAGCCTCTGCAAGCAGAAACAGAAGGGATGATGAGAAGGAGCGGATAACAACTACGGTCTATCTCCCCAAAGAAAGGGAAAACATTCAGAAGGTCTACAGTATTAAGTATCAGGACAATATTCAAAAGCATCTTGACCCTACTGAAAGATTTCTGTTGAGTCAAGTCTAACACAGAGGAGAACATAAACAAAGAAATGCGTATATTTCTTCCTGTGCAGTTATGGCAAAAAAAATAAAGCTGAAACTAGCCTGACTCCTAAAAGTATAACTTTGCCAGTGGTTAGTTTTTCTTGAGAAAACACTCAACTTTGTCCGCTTTAAAATGTTCGAAGTTTACGCTTGCTTAAAATTAAGACAATATGTTATCCAAAGCGAACAGCTTAGATGATAAGACAAGACTTCCATTTCACATGAAATGAAATAGATACATACTTTTTATATAATTATTTAGAAAACTTAGCTTATTTTGAGCTTTAGGACATAAGCATAGAGCATCGAGTGTAGGTCGAACTCACTAATCAGTAATAACGATCTACGAGACCAGCTTTACACTCCTATGAACTACAAGGAGGCAACTATTTTTGATATAATTTTATCCTGTACATACATAGCAGTATACACAAGATGAAATTATAAACGAATAAATTAGGAAGATATGATTTTATAACTTGTAGCCATTTTGTTTTTAATAGTAAATTTGGAAGTAGGTGGTACAGATACCAGAAACACTAAATAAAATCAATTTGTATTTAGGAATAATGAAACATGTCGTATTTTGGTAACAGATTGTGATCGATACGCAAAGCCTTAAATAAAAACAAAGAATAGGGCTTTGGAAACAGATAATTTGCCTTCATTCTAAAACTATGACTTCTCAGGCTTGCATCGTCAGATGTATTTTGTTTATTTCCATAACCCAAGAGGCTTAAATTTCGTCATGGAACCGTAATTTTGCATTTAATGCTTGAAACACATTCTAACCAAAGAGAAGCTAACACATATACATCTATTTCTATCCATATTTATATGAAGCCGAGTTCAGGTGCAAGGTTAAATTTGGATAGACATTACGCCAACCTCCCAAATGGAGCGGGAGTGGCTCTGCTGAAAATCAGTATTTGAAATCCTGGCTTTTAATACGGGTTTGACCGCAGTCTTCTGGAACCAATGTACGCCAAATTAAATATACTCCGCAATAATTTGTATTTATCAACTTTCAGCAAAATTTATTTTAAGCACATAATTTTCACTCTGGAACAAATACTTAGATCATCACCTAGTTTTCACCATATTCACCATCACCATCTTCATCGAAGTATTCCCTTATCTAGTGTTTCCACAGATGCTCAAAATAATTACCGGAAAACTTCGATACTATATTCGGTTAGGCGTCTCCTTTTCGAATTCCCTAAACTTTTATAGTGTCCCACGTATATATAAATACATAAACCTAACTTCCCTCTCTGTCCTATCATATCCCAACTCCCCACTCCGGTTTACCAATTAACCAAAATCATTAACCAACTCATTACACCATACATACATAGTAAATTCAGTATTAAATCAATTCATGAACTAATCCAAATCTTAAAAACAAAAACCCTAATAATGAAATAATTGATGTTGGATTTTTATTTTCCAATGTCTCAGTTAAAAAAAAACGATTGATATGATGACAAAGAATATATATATATATATATATATATATATATATATATATATATATATATATATATATACGAGGGAGAAAGAGAGAGTTTAAAATATATATACGAGGTAAGAGAGAAGGAGTTTTAAATTTTCTGTACTTATAAGCGAAGTCTGCACAAAATAGAGTTTATTGATTGTGTACATCGGATTCAACATTTCATAGTTTCACGCCTCTATGCGATCTTTATTCCTTTGTCCATATTGTCTGCCCCACTTATATATATATATATATATATATATAAGCATTATATATATATATATATGAAGAAATATAGTCTTAAGGTGTGCTATATTTATTGGATAAAGTGCTCGATATCAGAGATAGAGCGTGTGTAAATATAAAAGACTGTCGCCTCTAAGTGTTGACTTCTATGTTCACTTTTATATATATATATATATATATATATATATATATGTGTGTGTGTAAAGAGTGATACCCATATCTTAAGAGAATTTGCCTCTGAAAGTAAAAATTACTTTCTCCAACACCAAGTTTCCACTATATTTTTCGAAGTAGTCCCTGCCTTTATGTCTCACGTTCGCACGTGTATGTCTGCTTGATATACATTTTCTTTTTCGAAATCCAAACAAATCTCCCTCTTCCAGTATTGTGGTTAAACGTGCCAATTTTCAAACTGATTAATCGTAACACTCGTTTCAATAAAAGAAATGTGATATTCAATAAAAAATATTTTGTATTCGATTAAAAAAAAAAGCACTTTGGTGCTCGAACTCGCTGATGTGTGACATGCTGGTTTTAAATAGAAATTCGGTGTGTACGAGGTTCTTTGACTCCTCCCCCTCCCACTTCGTTAAATCGCTTTAATGCCCTTTTTTTCTGTTTATCCTATGCGTGTGTGCCTTCCCTCTTAAACTTCTACTCTTTACTTTCTTTTTTCTCATTTTCTTCCAATCTCTCTTCTTGAACTTGAACATCACCTTTTTGTCCTCTCTCCTTCTTTATAATTCCTTCTCTCTAAATCATACACTACTATACCCTCTTCCTTTAGCGCTCTCTCTCTCTCTCTCTATCAAACTACCACACATTTTGGATCCTTCTTTCCTTCCTTCTTTCTTTCCGTCATTCTTTATTTCTTTCTATCAGTTCTCTTTCTTTCTTTCTTTCTTTCTTTCTTACAATTATAGTTCTTTTGGTATTTTCATCAGCTTTTGCCTTTTTGTTGCTATTATTCTTATAGAATGTTTTTCTGAATTCCTCTTCTATCTGTACGAATAAGGCTTCTGTAACAAGTTTACAGAAATAAGAGAAGGGAATAAGGAAAAAGATGGAATAACTTCCACCTTATGGATTCTTCTTTCTTTCTTTTTCTTTCTTTTTCTTTCTTTCTTTCTTTCTTCTTGGTTTTCGTTCTTGTTCTTTAGTTTTCATTGCTTTACACCCGCATTGGTTCAATCACACAGAGTCAATTTCTCTATCATACATTACAGAGTTCTATCTGCGTCTTCCTATTACACGCACGCACACAGAGAGGCAAGCATTCTCACACACGTGATCATAGCGACCTTTCCTGCTGCTTGGCCTCTCATTAAGTGTTATGCATTGAGTGCAACGCTCAGAAATGGTGTTACATCGACGTCCTTGTTCGCTCGCTGTACAAGGCCGCGCATGTCAAAGTGTATCACAACTGAAGCTCGTTCCATCCGATGGCGAATGACTGCCTGAACAAAGCAAGACCAAGGCATTCTTGCAAGATAATGGCCGGCGGTGGGGCTAGAAAGATGGAACGGTTGGTGGCTTGGTCAAAGGAGGATAGCCTCGCGGAAGGGAGGTCTGAGCCGAGTGTTTGACTGTATTGGTTCAAAGTTATCGATCGGCAGATGTGGCTCAAGTTATCGGAAAATAGTTTCAATCGATGGCATATTCATTGGATTGAGACAACACAGACCAAGGTCAACTGTTTCTGGCCTATACTTGGTTGAGGGTTGTCAGTATTGATAATAAACAAAAAAGAAAATGAATGCATGGAAAGAAAAAAAAGAAGAATTAAGAAAAGAAGAAAAATGATGAAAAAGTGACAGGTAAAACGATAAGAACAAAATGAATGCAGGAAATAAAGGGAAAAAAAAGGATTTAGAAAAGAAAAGAAAAAAGGAAAATTGGATTAAGAAGGTGGTGGGCAAAAGGAGAAAATAAAAAAGAATTCAGGAAGAGAAAGAAAAATGGAACGGATTGGGAAAGAAAAGAAAGATGAAAAGGAATGAAGAATGAGACAGGGAAAGCAAGAAGAAAATGAATGCAGGGAAAGAAAAAGAGACGTAACTAGGAAACCAAAGAAAAAAAAGAGGATGAAGAAAATGGCTGACAAAACGAAAAACAGAAAAAAGAATGATTTAGAAAAGAAAAGGGGAAAAAGTGATGAATAAGGTGACAGGGAAAAGAAGAAAAGAAAATGAAAGAAAGAAAAAAATAAGGAATTCAGAAACCAAACAAAAAAAAAAAGTGGGTGAAGAATGTGACAAACAAAACGAGAAAAGAAAAATAAATTCAGTGAGAAGAAAAAAGAAAACGAATTAGGAAAGAAAAGGAAAGATGGCACAACGAGAAAAATGAATGCAAAGAAAGAAAGAAAGAAAGAAAGAAAATGCATTATGTGGAAAATTATTCCCTCTTTTTCCTTATTCACTTCTCTTATTTCTGTAAAACTTGTTACAGAAGCCTTGTTCATACAGATAGAAGAGGAATTCAGAAAAACATTCTGTAGGAATAATTGCAACAAAAAGGCAAAATGTGATGAAAATACCAAAAGAAATATAATAGAAAGAAAGAAAGAAAGAAAGAAAGAAAGAAAGAAAGAAAGAAAGAAAGAAAACTTAAATTAAAGAAAGAAAGAAGGATTTAAGAAAGAAAAGAAAAATGAAAAAGAGATGAATAAAGTGACAGGTAAAACAAGAAAAAGAAAATGAATGCAGAGAAAGAAAGGCTAAAAGTGTTTAGGAAAGAAAAAAGTAGGAAAAAAGAGATGAAGAAAGTGGCAGATAAAACGAAGGAAAGGAACTGAAGAATGGGAGAAGTAAAATTCAAAAGAAAGAATGATAACCAAAATAAAAGGGGAAAGGAAAACACGAGGTAAAGAATAAAAGAAAGAGAGAAAAACTGTAAAAGAAAGGAATCTTGGATTTCAGGGGATAATTGAGCGGAAAAGATGTGAGAAAATGGTTCGCTGTGTAAATACCAAGCGGAACAACAGAAAAAGAAAATGACAGAATAGTAAGTGGAAAAATCCAATAACATAATCCAGTAAAGCCAGTAATATAATCCCCTGAAATCGTATGCAAGCATCTATCATAACACGATGGTTAATAAGCTCGTTCAGCGGAACTGTTAGTTTTACTTGAGACATCATAGATGTGGTACTACAGAAAGATGCTTAGAATAACATAATCGGAACATGTGAGAAACGAGGAAGTTTTAAGGAAAATTAAAACGAAAAAGACACTGGTAATCAGAAATAGCAACTCACTAGAAAAACGAAAGATGTATTTCTAAAGCTAAGCAAAGTATTATAAACCAGGAAAATTTCGTTAGAAACAAAAGAAATCGTGTTCAAATGTTATATAATATCAATCCTCCGATATGGAAGTGAATGTTGGACAGTTTCCTCAAAAATGAAGAGGAAATTTGAAGCAACAGAGATATGATTCTACAGAAGGATACTGAGCATACCATCGACAGAGCAACGAGGATATTTTAAGGAGAATTGGAAACGAAAAGGACACTTGCACTTAGAATTTACATTTCTGGGAGGCATAATAAAGAAGGGAGTTTGGAAAATTTAACACTCACAGAACATACTAAAGACAATAAATAATTTCTGTCTGAATTTCTGGGATGAGGAGTTATCATTATTTACCATATTTCCATTCCGACTGTTGTCCTCATCTTTGATGTTATCAAAACATTTCGGCCATTGTGTCTTCCGGCCTTCACCAAGTGTATATCGATCTGGGTAGCCTACAGGGAATTCCTAAATAAACCTTTTATTTCATCTTCTCATGTCTACGAATATCTCATCTATTTTTTATCAATCATACGGGACAATATCCTTAGTGGATTAAAGCGTTGGTTTGTAAATTTGATGACATAATAATTGTGAGTTCAATCCCTGGTCCCGACAGTGTTTATTTAGACTCAGTGGGGTCAGGCAATAACTAAACAATACTAAAAATTAAGAACTAGACGAGATATCCCTAAACATGAACAGTGGAACGAGAACAGTCTACCCCCGTAAATGATGTAGCCGTAAATTCTATGCGAATAGTTTCCTTTCTCACACTTCTCGCTTGTGGAACTCCCTTCCGTCTCCATGATTCCTAGCCAACTTTAATCTCCAAAAATTTAAATGCGATGTCAATCGTTGTCTACTGTCATCTTGATTATTCTTCTATTGTTCTCACTCCATAGTAAGATTTCTGTTCCTAATTTTTTTCACACCCAGTAACCCCTTGTGACTTAGAGGCTTCACTGCCTTGAATGGGATGAAACCGATTAAAAAAAAATAAGGGGATCAATTAAGAATTCCCTGTTGGTTACTCGGATCGATGTACACCTGGTGAAAGACGAAGGGTAGAATGACGAAAACGTTGTGAGCATCATCCCCCCCCCTCTTCTGCCATCCCTTTACGTCAAGCTTGTTAGATTGTTTACCTCTGCCACTCTATATGTCCTGGTTATGAATGTCACATTCCCTAAGACCTCTTTCCTCACTATGTGTCCTAAAAGGTTCAACTGAATCTTTCTAAGAATAGGTACACATTTTTGTTTCCAAGTTCTGTAGAACCCTATTTCTATTCTTCCTTTGTGAGGAGATTGTTTAGCATTCACTCCCGTACATGACGACTGCTATTTACAATCAATAGCATCAATGGAATTGGAGAAGAAAAGAAAACAGCTATATGGCTCATTCGAGCCGCGTCCACTGGTGAAGCCATTATGGAAAATTGGTGGGGTGCTATCTTCGGTAAAATTTAAATTTTCTTTCCTTATCCAAGAGAGCAAATGTTCTCTTGGATAAGGGAAGAAACTTTAAATTTTGTCGAAGGCTTATTTTTTCATGGCTAACCCATAAGGTTTAAACTCATTCTGTGGTGGACACTTAATTTCTGACAACCAAAAACCTCTAGATTTCAATGCATATCATATTCACTGGTTAATGAAACTTGCTAAAAGAAATTTGAAGTCAGTCACTGAAACGATTTACTTTTTATCAATTTTTTGCTTTTTCACAGAAATATTTTCTTTGCATGAGCATGAAATGACTAAAGTTATTCGAGTGAGGGATGGAGTAATAGTAAAGCCAGTGGTACTGATAATCAACAGACGAAACCTTGCTTATATATATATCGGATACAAATGTAGACGACAGTTATATACAGCCGCAATTTTTATTTCCATTTTTAGTGGGACTGGAAAATAGGTACCATGGCCTGAAATAAGTATTTCTACAATATTTTTTAAAACACATTATCGATTAAGCATTTCATATCATGAACATCTAAAATAATTATTAAATTTTGTAAAAATTAATAAGGGTCCCGGTTTACTATGTAAATTCATTGTAAATTGATATCCCTACGGAAGCCAAAACAAATGTGCTCAGAGTTGACAAGAATCCAGTGGTTAGACATGGGTTTGTTTTGCATGTAAAGGTAGATTTAGGTTCTTTTCGCTCGAAAGTGAAAATGAAAGACATATTTCTTTTTGTCATTTCACCTCAAGCAAGGTAAAAATGTCTCTGAGACACGGGGGGTTACTGAGTGTAAAAGAATATAAAAAAATATAAAAAACACTATTTAGGCGCGAGGACAATAAAAAAAACAGAAATTAAGAAAACAACAGATAACGATTGACAATTCATCTGAATATTTGAAGATCAAATTGACTGAAAAGCAAGAAGCCGGAAGAGAGTTCTCCAGGCCTGAAGTACGGTAGAAGAAACTGTTAGCATAGAACTTACGGTTATATCTAGAAATTTCAGCTGTGAAATGATGATTGCCGCTAATCTTGTACTGCGCTTAAATTCATAGAGTAGGTACCATAGAGGAGAGTTCATCAGAACATTTACCATGAATGTATTTATAGAAAAGGTATGGGGAAGTTACATTACGGTGGTGGGAAAATGACTGAAGCCGAGATGCCAAGTCAGGACCAGAGTCATTGCAGATTCTTTTTTCTTTTTCTTTCTTTTTTTTTTTTTTGATTTTATAAAGGATCTCTTAATATATAACAGGAGCACCAGACCATATTTGGCATCAATATTCAAGGGATGGAAAATGGTAGACTTATAAATATCTTAGATAGGTTATAACCATAAAATGGCACGACACGGCGAACTTTCCTAGCAGCAGAACTATCAATTGATTCAGTATAATCTTTCTATGTCCTGTCAATGGAAAACATTAACCTGAGAAGGCACAATGAGTCACTCTCCTGGAGGTTAGCATCAGCCATGTTGATAAAAGGCAAAAAGGATTCTCTCAGATGATTAATGCAGAGAAGTTACGTTAAAAAAGTATCCTCTATTTTGTGGGGCGGTTGCCCTCTGCACAGGAATGCTATCGGCATATTCTTTATCCTCAAACGGCGTCTGGATATGATTTTATAATAAGGGTTGGCATCAAATGTTTAAACTACAAAAATTCAGTTTCAGTAATCCGTTTTAAAAA